TTCGTAACTGCCCCACCAGCAGTGCTGATGAGAGGTGGAACTACATTCGTGACGCCATTTACACCTCAGCGATGGACACTTTCGGCAAGAGAGTGAGACAAAATCCAGACTGGTTTGAGGCAGGAATTACAGAACTCGAACCAGCAATCACAGCCAAAAGAAACGCCCTGCTCAACTACAAACGTGGACCTTCAGAGAAGACACTTGCTGAACTCAGAAAGGCCAGAAATGACGCCCAACGGATAGCTCGACGCAGCGCAAATGACTACTGGCTGAATCTCTGTAAAGGTATCCAGCACTCTGCTGACTGTGGAAACATTCGCGCCATGTACGAAGGCATGAAGAAAGTTTTTGGTCCGAACATCATCAAGACAGCGCCGCTGAAAACAGTCTCTGGTGACATCATCACTGACAGAGGAAAGCAAATGGAGAGGTGGGCTGAACACTATCAAGAACTCTACTCAAGAGAAAATCTCGTCAGTGTCACAGCTGTTGAGAACACCAATGTCCTACCAACTATGGGGGAACTTGATGCTCCACCTTCGATAGATGAGCTCAGTAAGGCCATCAACTCCCTAGCCAGTGGGAAAGCCCCAGGTAGCGATGGTATTCCCCCAGAGGTCATCAAAGCGGGCAAGAGTTCCACTCTGTTACATCACCTGCACAAGCTGTTACTCCAGTGCTGGGAAGAAGGAACAATTCCACAAGACATGCGCAATGCTAGCATCATAACGCTCTACAAGAACAAAGGAGACCGCAGCGATTGCAACAACTATCGTGGAATATCCCTACTAAGCATTGTTGGAAAGGCTTTCGCCCGAGTAGTGCTAAATCGATTGCAACAACTAGCAGAGCGAGTCTACCCGGAGGCGCAGTGCGGTTTCACAGCAGAAAGGTCAACCATCGACATGGTTTTCTCATTACGCCAATTACAAGAAAAGTGTCGAGAACAGAGACGCCCATTGTACATTGCCTTTATTGACCTAACCAAGGCATTTGACCTGGTCAGTAGGCAAGGTCTCTTTACCCTGCTACAGAGGATTGGATGCCCTCCAAAGCTCCTGAGGATAATCTCGTCTTTCCATGAAGACATGCAAGGCACCGTCCAGTATGATGGTTCATCCTCAGATCCTTTCCCCATCAAAAGCGGCGTAAAACAAGGATGTGTACTAGCCCCAACACTTTTTGGCATATTCTTTTCCCTGCTGCTGTCATACGCATTTGATCAATCAGAAGACGGCGTGTATCTTCACACCAGAAGTGATGGAAGCCTCTTCAACCTTGCGCGTCTCCGAGCAAAAACCAAAGTACGCAAGGTCCTGATCAGAGAGATGCTCTTTGCTGATGATGCCGCCTTGACTGCACACACAGAGCAGGCGCTACAACGACTCATCGACCGCTTTTCCAATGCATGCGATGAGTTTGCTCTCACCATCAGCATCAAAAAGACCAACATTATGGGCCAGGACGTCTGCTGCACTCCCAAAATTTCCATCGACGAACATATCCTTGAAGTTGTGGATTCATTCACCTACCTTGGGTCCACCATATCAAGTAACCTGTCCTTGGATACAGAGCTAAATAAGCGCATTGGGAAAGCAGCATCAGTAATGGCTCGGCTGGGAAAACGAGTATGGGACAACACCATGCTGACAACAAACACCAGGATAGTGGTATACAAGGCGTGCGTACTCAGCACGCTCCTGTACGGCAGCGAAGCCTGGACCCTGTACTCTCGCCAAGAGCGTCGACTCAACACCTTCCACATGCGTTGCCTCAGAAGAATTTTAGGCATCAGCTGGAAGGATTATGTCACCAACAAGGAAGTATTGAGACAGTCAAGGTTACCCAGTTTGTTCGCCTTGCTAAGCCAGAGGCGATTGAGATGGCTTGGCCACGTAAGCCGCATGGACAACGGCCGTATACCGAAGGACGTGCTGTACGGAGAGCTGGCAACTGGATCAAAACCTACAGGAAGGCCTGTTCTTCGCTACAAGGATGTCCTAAAACGTGACATGAGGGCCGGAGACATCGACCCGGCATGTTGGGAAGCAGTGGCTGCTGACCGAAATCGATGGAGGCATGCTGTCAAGGCAGGCCTCCAACTCAGCGAAAAGAGGAGGGAAGAACAGTGGGATGAGAGAAGACAGCGCAGACGACAAAGAATAGCTTCCGTCCCAGCTCAACCAAGCGAGCATTACATCTGTGCGAACTGCAACAAAGCATGCCGCTCCAGAATTGGACTTTACAGCCACAGTCGGCGCTGTCACTCAACCACAGACTGATCCTTGGCACGATCTCCATTGTCTCCCGAGACAGAAGGATGCCAACAACAAAGAATGACAATTGAAAATGATTTTTTCCAGATAAGTTTTTCATGGTCAAGGTCGTAAAATATGTCACATCCCTCCCTTACATGCTTTAGTAATAAAAAGGAAATATGTCTAAATATATCATGTATTCATCACCTACACACCTGTTATGCATTCAATTAATCTGTTGCTATTAGGAATAGAATACTAGTACCTTAAATTATATACCTGATGGAAGACATTCAAAACAGTGTCATTTTCTATGGTTTAATACGTGTCATATTACATATAATAGTTTTGGCTTAATCTTTGAAATCCTTGATGATATCAAGGTTGGGAAAACCCTTTCCTTCATTCACTTTATAAAATTGGGTATGATCGATCTTATCTTTGTTTTTGTTTCATTTGTGAAAAATGAATGTTTTTGACTTTAATAAGAAGTTATCATCATAAAATGTATGTATTGCAAGGGTCTATTTTTGTAAAGATCTTTTATGAATGAAATGTAGAGATAGCGAACAGTATTCAAGCTTTCAGGTCCATTAAGAAATGATAAATCAGAAGCAGAGGAAACATGAACCTTTAAAACATCAGAGGTGAAATCAGGTGACATAGAGTAAGCGTCCCTGCCGACTGGTCACACCTACACCACAATTCGATCCACCTGCAAAGAAAAGATGTATTTACAGTGACGGTCGTAATTGGTTCTTGAAATCTTTGTAACATCAAATTTTTATCAAAAGTGTGTCTTGATTTTTTTTAAACAAAATTGATTATTTTCTGAGCAAGTAAATAATATGCAGTGACTTTCAAATACTGCTACCAGTACATATCAGAAAAGTAGACAGGAAAAATCTTATCAACTATTGTTCACCCAATTTGTCATACAGTTTATTTACATATGTTGGCCATTACATGCCTTAGTAAAACATCATTACATACAGATGTTAAGTTGAAGTCACAACATACATTAAGATGTTATCATAGTAGTTTGCATTGAAAATAATCCCAATATCCACAAAAATGACAAGAACAAAGTCCATATAAAGAATGATTTTAAGAAATAGCTAAAGCTGATCGCCAAAATTTCATATAAAGTGACCATATAAGTTAGACCCAAAATCATTGTAAAATACAACCAACTCTGAAACATGTGTGTTTAAAAAATTAAACAATTTTAGTTTTTGGCAGCTCTTTACATGTTGTTTTAGAAGGTAATTGTTATTCCTATTCATTTGAATAAGAGTCTTGCATATTATTTCCTATGCAATGAATCTGTACGAATATGTAAGTAATATGTAAGTAATAAAGAAAGGCTAAATTTGAAAATTTCTTCCTATAAGTATTTGCACATTTTTGCAACATTAAGTTTTTTTAAGTGTAACTAAGCTTCATTCTTTAGCATTGCCTCATGCGCGCAAACAATGCAATCCAAATTCATATAGGGTCCTATCTTACTATAATTGACAAATGAAATGTGACATAGCTCACTCGATTTTCCATTTTAATATCAATTATGATTTATCCTACAAGCTGCTCGTCACGTCACGCACTTTGGATGTGTTATAAAGTATTGGGGACCACAATTTCATTACCGTAAATTTGAGATAATGGATATGGGACGTGAATGAGGATGTTCCCATTCAATGTCCTTATCTCTACATACAACAGACTTCTAATACATGTCTTGGTACCTCAATTAGGTAGTACTCAAGTGGCATAAAATTATAGCCAAATGTCATCATAATTTAATTTCAAAGTTCTGGGTCTTTTTTAACTCATGCTGTTTCAGATTTTTTCTTTGTAAAAAAAAAAACTTTTAGTATTGATTGTTAAGGTCAAGATGAAGTAAATGTCTTGAGACTAACATTTTGGTGCTAGATCCATTATGACGTCATAATCACTTTCAACTTTCTTTTTCCCATACTTTACGGCTTTAACAGAATTATGTAGAAAATTAAGTATTTTCAGGAACTTCAATTTGAAATTACATGAAATTTAGTCCCGTTACCTATATTAAAATTGACATTATTCTAAAGAAGAGGCCATGAACATACAAATTACCGTTTTCTGTAGGCTTGATACATTTTCTTTGTCTGATATGGAAAAAGGTCCCGTATTCATGACTTCATGTTTGGTATGTTTTTTCACTTAGGCTTATATGCAGACGCCACTACTTACCGGTAGTACTTACACGTACTGCGACACGGAACCTCGAAGGATTGGTCGATCTATACGTCTAACATTGGGGTTTGAACCCGCGACGTAAGGATCAACTTATTACTCTGCGACTCTTAGAGGAAACGCTCTTACCAATGAGCCTCGCGGGACACATGTACAAATGAAGCCTACCGTTACATAGTATTATAATTTGTTATATTATGTAAGGGTCTGTTGATCTGATAAATGTTAGCTAGAACGATAGTACCTAAGCACTAAACCACTTTCAACGTATGCATTATCTCTATTAGACAGTACAATGTATGATAAGATTTCAAATGAATACTAGAAATAGTTTATGTAGAAAAATATATGCTTGCACACTAAGTCAAAGCTACTTTTATAAGTTTCCTTCTTTTATTGTATTTTTTTTTTAAATAACCGGGTTATTTTGACAGTGCACAGAGTCTGGCAAAAAATATTTTGTTGCGTTGGCAGATAATGCTTGACAGATAAGAAATCTTGTAGGTCAAAGATCACTCTGTGGACAATATTCTGGCACGTGTCGGGGACTAATCCATTATATCATAACTCTTATGAATTAGATGTTTATTTTGTTAACAATGTACAAGCAATTTTTATTTCTGTTAATTGTGAAGACAGTGTATTGTCAGGACAATGTGTTAGACGTTGCAAAGAATTTGGGAGCAAACCAGCTAGTGAAATTACTTCAAGATGCTGAATTAAGTAGTGTTCTAAAAGGGAAAGGTATTTATGTACAATTTTGATGCCGTTAACCTTTTCTTGTTGTTGTTAATGCTGTTGTTGTTGTTGTTGATGTTGTTTTTGTTGTTCATGTTGTTGTTGTAAATCTTGTTGTTGTAAATCTTGTTCTTATTGTTGTTGTTGTTAATAGTTTTGTTGTTAATATGTTAATTTTGTTATTGTTGTTGTTAGCGTTGTTATTATTAATGTTGTTGTTGTTAATGTTGTTCTTCTTGTTCTTTATGTTGTTGGTGGTGTTGTTAATGTTCGTCTTTAATTGTTTAAGTTGAACAAAATCAACATTAAGACAAGGACATTATTATTCTTGAATGAAAATGGGTTTTTTTTTCTATTTCCAGGTCCATTTACACTTTTTGCCCCCACAGATAAAGGCTTCAGTGCCCTTCCGGCCGATGTTTTAGACAAATTGACAAAAGACAAGACACTCTTAAAACAGGTTCTGTCCTACCATGCAGCAAGCGGAGCCAAGCTATCATCTGACCTGACAAATGATCAGTTACTAGAGTCACTGGACAACTCACAAAAAATCAGAATCAACATATACGATGGCGTAAGACTTATTTTTTCCTATTACTGATTTAATTTGTGAACATGAATTAAGCTATCTGGAAATCAATTCTTCCTGAATTGTAACAAGCCAAGACGTGTAATTTCCTCTTGGAAAATTAATGCCGCAGAAAAAAACAAACTTTATGAGCTTTAAGGAAATCTGAAACTAGTGCGCTGTGTGTAAATTGCTTTATTAATTTTATTAATTAAAAGATAAAAATAAATCTTTTAATGCACCATAATGTTTTAGTGATTTTTTTTACTAAAAGATATGTGTTAAGCACGACACAAAGTCTTTAATTATATAACATCAACTTGTTACAATACTTTACTTGGAAAATGTAACATTGATAAATCATAGAAGCCATTGAATGTATTCGGCTAAAACTACACCTTTTTCATCATGAGACAGAAAAAATATATATGCCTTAAGAAAGATCAACACCGAGAATAATTCAGTTATGTTTTTATTAATATATAGATGTATCTATTGATAATCATCTGTTATCGACTAGGCCATTTAAAGTGCTCTTACAGAGAAGACTATGATTTAAAAATTTAAAATCATGTATTTTTTTAATTTTATACATTAATTGGTCAAAATGTTTTTAAAAATAATAAAAGTTATAAACTACTCAACAAAAAAACAACAATGACTTAATTATCGTTTTTGTGAAGATGATGAAAATGAGATATTTGGTTTATGCTAAAAAAAAACAGAAAACCAAATCACGCAATTTGACAAAACAATTTATTGTTCATCATTTTTTTTTCAGAAAGTGTTTGCCACGGGATCTCAAGTTATCTTACCAGATAAAAATGCTTCCAATGGCGTAGTTCATATGTTGAACAAAGTTATCTACCCTGTCCCTACGGAGAATGTGGTTGCACTGGCGTCAAAAACCCCGGAACTGAGCACCCTGGTATATGCCATTATTCGTGGAAAACTGGAGAAAACATTAACCGGTAAGCTAGGGTTTGACTTTTTAATTTCTCTGGCATTAAAATAAAAATGTCAATATGACCCCAGACCAAGTATCATTAGAAAACATTTCACTGAATTGTGTGAAAATTTTTGATATTTTTCCCCATAATTTGATTAAAACAAATAGATAATTATAATAAACAAGTTACCCAGCAACGCTTGTCACAAATCGCCCTTTTTCTTTTCTTTTCTTTATCGGCAAAGAATTATCGGTTTCACCATTTATTTAAATTGTTTCTTAGATATTCCTAGTGCGAAGAATTTTGTGTCTAAATGTGGCCCTTCCATTCCCGAGTAGGTTAAGATTTGCTAAATTTAATCTTCACTACCTGAGAATCCTCCCATAAAAATAATCATCACCTTGCTGCAATATTAATGTAACCCTCTCCGATTTTTTTTTAATCTGATAAAAAAAAAAGGAGAGGGCTACATTATGACAGCTAGTTCCTAAAAAGAATCAATTTTAAATGAAAATCTATGTAAGTATAAATTCATCATTTACTGTGCTCTCATCTCGTTCTTGAGAAGATGTATTTTTCAAATCTGTAATTTTTTATGTAAAATTTTTATGATCGCTCTCTGTAAACACATACCCTTAGGTTTGCGAAAAAACTTGAATTAACACACTTTGACAGAAAGTTTCATCTTTTCTAACCCCGTGCATATTAAGAAAAATTTAAAATGCCTACATCTAATGCAACATTTGATCATCCAATCTTGGAAAGGGTGTTGCCATTCATTTGAACAAAGATGCATCTTTATACTTACCCAAGAATACGATGTGTCTTCGGCTAAGGCAAGCTGAAAAGAAACATTACAAATATATTTAAATACTATAATAGTAATGTAATACATATAATATTTTATATGCAGAGGGACCATTTACAGTGTTCGCCCCAAATAATGCCGCATTCCAAAAACTTCCTCCCGGAAAACTGAGTGACTTGCTGAGCAATGAGACAGCTCTCGTGGGTAAGCGCCAAGTATATCTTATTTCCGAGTTTCTACTTCTTTTCATGAATTATCAATTTCAATCATTATCTGACCACTAACTTAAAATGTATTAAATCGATACATGTATAGTACAAAAAACATTGCATAGATATACATGTAAGTAACATTTCATTGAACATGTGGGTTGCTCTTCCATAAATAATAGAATGTTTGAGAAAACGAAACGTTTTACGTTAACTTGTGGAGTTTATATGTATTGTAATTCCATGTCCCCCTGCCACATTAAACATAAATATCATACGTTGAAATTTAGAAGGAAATTATTTTCTTTCTTCCATTTCTTGAATAAGTTAAATCGGTTGTAACAGCTATGGGGTTTTTGAGAGTTAATAATGTACATGAATGCAGTCAAAATATTATGAAATTTTCAGATACTATGAAATAAACGCATTTTAATCAATTTTAACAAATTTATATGGTTTATATGGTTTCTTTGGGCGACTTTAGAAGGTCAGCATCTCTGCTTCCATATATTGATTTTTAATTTATAGTATGTCCTTCTTATTTCAGTTGCTGTATATAATTGGAACAAAGTCTCTCAAAGACAACATCAGGGGACTACTTGTCTTCCATTCTGTAAATTACATTTGCATTCTAAGTTACAACCTTTGCATTATAAAAGGCGTAATTTTCAGGGACTGAAAATTGAATTATTTATGAACTGGGGTTTAGCTAAATAATAATTCTGATTTTTTATGACACCTTCTAAGGTTTAATGGAAAGAGAAGTAATTATATATATGCACTTAAATATTTGTTTGCACTCTTTTAAACTTATTGCAATTTGTTAATTATCGTGTGATTTCAAGAAACTTCCAATGAAAAAAAAAACCTTTAATTCCCTCGTCTCAATGATTAAACTGTAATTTTCTTTTTTTTTTTTTAAATAAAACAAACAAAAGAAAAACGTCATTAATTTCATAAATTTGTACCCTTTGATTCTTCCGTTCTGACAGTCGGGCTCATTTAATCTCGGATCTATACATACAAACTTCAATAATATGAAAGCGTTGTTTAATAATAATTATTTTTCTGAGAAGAAATGCATTTCCAATATCCGAAGCCGATACCTGTTTTCTACACAGTTTTGAAGGAAGATTTGTAATCATAGGACTGTGAGTTACATAAAAAACAATCATGACAATAGAATGAATATAATGTGAAGATGACAAACATTCCAAGTTGACACCATAAACAATATCATTAGTATACCAGCACGCAATTCCGAAAACAGAGATGTGATATCAGTTTTGATGAAGGAGTAGCATCCCCTCTCGACTAGTGACGCCTGCTTTGGGTTTCATTTTACAATCAGAGTTCCTATCACAGTCAGATATGTTAAATTGCCACTAATTCACATCGATGTCGACATGAGATACTTTCTCCCCTATGGCACCTGACCCAGCCTATGGTGATTTATATATAGGTCAGAGTTTGCTCTGCTTCCTATTTTTAGTGGGTTTTTTTATAAACTAGAATTTTCCTGAATAAAACAAGGTTTAACTAGATTATAAACTATAACCTATGGAGTACTTCGTGGGTTACGTTTGATGAAATATGGAGATAACGAACAATAATCAAGCTTAAACCTAGTACATTAAAACAATATAGAGATCAGAAGTAGAGCAAAAACAGACCTCTTAAACATCAGGTGGAATCAGATGCCATGGATCGAGTAGTTAACACATCCCTCATGTGGTCATTGTCATGTTGAGACAAACGGAAAAATCAGTAAACAATTTAGTTCGTTAATTATTGATTAACAATTAGTATTTCAAAAAATGTCAGTCAGCATTCGAGTTAATATTTAGATCGATGTAGCTGACACAAGGATGTATTGTTATGACCATAGAACTTGCGAGATTTTGACAATAAACGATACTGTTGATTTCCTTGTTTCATCAAATTGCTCGTCGATACCTACCTCTTTTAGAAATTGTTTGTACGTAGAGCATGCGCATGCGTTTTGAAATAAAGGCATCAATATGTAGTACGTAACAGGAAATTCGGGCAATGGCGCTATTCAGTCATTATATATTGTCTATAATGTGTTAAGAACCATAATGTCACATGATGATAATTATGTGATTCACTCTAATTGTAAATCAAGCCTAAAAATGTGTTTGTCTAAAATAGAATGGAATGATTTCTTTACCTTTAACATGCAACCTCTATTAAATACAAAAGAAAGAAAGGGGCCAATTAGTGACATTAAATGTGGGGGTTTTTTGATCGGAATAGTGAATCTTGTCAGAGTTATAGCTGTAACATTTTTCATTAAATTATTTAATATTTATTTATTTAATTATTTATTTTGTATATTCTGCATGTTTCTAAATCAATGTGCATACTAATACTGAACATTATGATACAAAGTTTGTTTGTTGAAACTAAGAACTTTGAAGTAGCGTCATATCCAGGCAATATTTTTCCTGCATCGTAAATATGAAGTGGGCAAGGGAATTAAGTGCCTGGGTTAGTTATACAAAGGGAAAAAAACATGCTTTTATGTCAATTCACAATTAACAATTAAGTATCTCTAATGCATTGTCAACCGGTATAAATAAACAATAATTATTGGCTGTTATTAATTAGATCTGCATTATATTTCCAGATCTCCTAACCTACCACGTAGTCTCGGGAACGGTTTACAGTGCTGGTCTAAAAGACGGAATGGAAGTTCCCACGGTTCAGAAATCAGAAGTCAGGATCAGCATAAATGGTTAGCCTAATTCAATAAATCTATGTTTCTCGGTCCCTGATCAAATTCCATTTACTTGGATTAGAAACCCTTTTTACGAAGCATAACTTCCTGGCATTATATTATGTTACGCCACTTTAACTTAAAATGATTATTGGATTTCTCCTATCCATTCCTGTCTAAGGAGAATCCATTTAGTCTTGCCTTGGAAAAAAATTCGTAGTGATGTAAACATATCTCAATATTCTCATAGCGCTACAGTTCTTGCTTTTAAATTATTTTTTTTCTTTAATTAATACAGTTTGTTTCTATTTCAAAATTAAAATAATCATTCCCGAAATAAACTTCAACTGAATATAAAGTGTTAATTTTGCGTGTATTAAAATATTTCTGATTGCACTGGAATAAAACCTCACAACTATTTTTGGAAAGGTTAATATCCTGTTTCAAAATTGATTTATTAAATAGAAGCAAAAATGTACTCGTGAGAATAATTTTAAGCTAGAAATACAATCGCAATGGCAAATTTGAAATATATATAACATTTTTAAACTGTCAATCAGTACTTGTATATATATCGTGCTATACTTAATAATCATCGTTCTATATTCCAGGAGGTACGGTTAAGGTAAATGATGCAACCGTTATACAGGCTGACGTCAGCGTTTCAAATGGCGTGATCCACGTCATCGATACTGTGCTTACGTTGCCATCCTAAAATACCGCCATTTTGTGATGCTGTTCTGTTACTTTAAATACATCTTTTTTCTTAATTTTCTGTTCGAGTTTTTTAAAAAAACATTAGTATGACTTCAAAAAACCGAATAGCTCTTTCATATGAAGGTATAAATGATATAGTTTGTGGCAAGGAACTTTGAAAAAATTACGCACTTTGAAAAATTTTTTCAAAGTGCGTTAAAATTGGGACAAAATCAACGCACTTTGAAAAAAATTCAAAGTGCGTTAAATTTTGGGCACACTCAACGCACTTTGAAAAAAATTTTCAAAGTGCGTTAAGAGTGTACATTAATATTTTTTACTATGGAGGCTTTAACGCACTTTGAAAAAAAATATGTATGAAACAAAAATATCTAGACTTAGATTTTAGTAATTAGGAGAATCAATTTGTAATAATTATATCTTTCGAAAAACTTTTTTTTAATTTTCATATACTCATTTAAAGCAATATGAGCTGCATTTTTGAGAATTTTATTTTTCTAGTAAAATGTGTTATTATGATTAATTTTTACGTTATTTAAACCTTTATGATCAATAAAAGCAAAATAAAGTTTAAAAATGTTTCAGAAGAAATATTTCTGTACGATCGAATATACAGTATTATATAAGAAGTCATTATTGTACAGGACGACAATAATGCAATTTTGCTTCAATCAAAGCTTATGAAAAGTCCTTCCAACGCAAATATGAACAACAGAATTTCATAAATTTTCTATTTTTCTGTCATTGAAATAGTTAATGATAAATTTGCAACAAAATTTTCCAATGTCAAACATGCAGCTCATATTGCTTTAACCTCATTGAGAACAAGGAGAAGACGAGTAGAAGGTCTCTCATCCCAACTCTTTTTTTTCTTATACATTGTACATAGCCGTCGGTAACAAATTGAAAGTTGACCCCCCCCCCCCCCCGGTAAGCCCCAATATTTAATGCATACATATTTTATGTATATCTTTGCAAAACATTTGTGTGCCTACAGTACATGTACCCCCCCCCCCCCCAGCCCGGTACCGATGCCTATGCAACACCCAAATAGATGTATTTATATAACTGGTATGACGTTGAAAACTTTCAATAAATTTAATTTTACATAAAATGCATGCAAAGTGGAAAAAATTAAGTACAGTAAAGTATTTAAGAGAGAAAGAATTTTCAAAGTATGAAAAAATCGAAATCGGTCACTTTCACATCCTGAAGTGACCTCATCACAGAAAAGTTATCAAACACTGAAACAGGTTCAATTATTTATCATACACATGTACCTAAGATTTGCAAGAATATTGACCAATCCATACACATTTTTTCAAAGTGCGTTGATTTGGTCCCAAATTTAACGCACTTTGAAATTTTTTGTCAAAGTGCGTAATTTTTCAAAGTGCGTTGTAACATAGTACGATATGATTAAATTCCCCCCCCCCCCCTCAAGGTAAACAACAAATGCATGCAAACTGTAAAAAATTAAGTACAGTAAAACATTTAAGAGAGAAAATTTTTTTCAAAATATGGGAAAATTAAAATCGCTCACTTTCACATCCTGAAGTGATCTTATCACCGAAAAGTTATCCAACAGGTTCAATTATTTATATTGACCAAGCCATACACATTTTTTTTCAAAGTACTTTACTATGGTCGATACTAACGCACTTTAAAAAGAAATTTTATTTTTTCCAAAGTGCATTGTTACAACGCGAAATGTAATAACAACGCGAAATGTAATAAACTGGGAAAATCACATTTTGCTTTATTACATTTTGCATCGTAATCTATGCAAAATGTAATAATGCAATTTTTGGATTATTAGATTTTGCGTTATTACATTTTGCGTCGAAATCAACGCAAAATGTCATAACGCAAAATGTAATAATCCATCAAATGTATCATTACATTTTGTATTGTTACATTTAGCGTTGATTTCAACGCAAAATGTAATAACGCAAAATGTATTAATCCCAATTTATTACATTTCGCGTTGTAACAGTGCATTGATTCGTTCCCAAATTTAACGCACTGCTACAACGCACTTTGAAAAATTACGCACTTTGAAAAAAAATTTCAAAGTGCGTCAAATTTGGGACCAAATCAACGCACTTTGAAAAAATAAAATTTCTTTTCAAAGTGCGTTAATATCGACCATATTAACGCACTTTGAAAAAATGTGTATGGATTTGTCAATATTCTTGCAAATCTTAGGTACATTGTACATGTGTATGATAAATAATTGAACCTGTTTCAGTGTTTGATAACTCGTCTGTGATGAGGTCACTTCAGGATGTGAAAGTGACCGATTTCGATTTTTTCAAACTTTGAAAATTCTTTCTCTCTTAAATACTTTACTGTACTTAATTTTTTCCACTTTGCATGCATTTTATGTAAAATTAAATTTATTGAAAGTTTTCAACGTCACTCCAGTTATGTAAATACATCTATTTGGGTGTTGCATAGGCATCGGTACCGGGAAGGGGGGGGGGGGGGTACATGTAGGCACACAAATGTTTTGCAAAGATATACATAAAATATGTATGCATTAAATATTGGGGCTTACCGGGGGGGTCAACTTTCAATTTGCTACCTACGGCTTTGTACAATGTATAAGAAAAAAGAGTTGGGATGAGAAACCTTCTACTCGTCTTTTCCTTGTTCTCAATGAGGTTAAATGAGTACAGTGCAGGGAAATAATTTTGTTACATAAACCAGCATCAGGATCAGCATAAGTAGGATCAGGATAGAGCTAGCATCAGCATCAGCATTTAAAAAAAGCATTACTTGGATCAGCATCAGCAAGCAAAAGATAGAACTAGCATTGACCTATTTTAAAACCAGCACTGACCTACTTAAAATCAGGATTATCCTGGTTTATTAAAACTACAGATTTGATTTTCACGAAACGAAACCGCAAATAGCCATTCCTATTTCAGTCGGAAATAAATACAAAGAATGTATTTCTTGCTCATAAATTGGCCAATATAATCCTAAGATTATTATTAAATTAATTCAATAGCAATAACCCCGTGATATTTTCAAATCTGAATCAGCTGATCACCAAACGCTATGGAGTCTACTGGTGAGCACAGGGGCTTGTGTAGAGAAAATAAATTTGTTTAAAAAATTAGTACCTAGGAGAAAAAAACACGTGTTTTTTTCTCCTAGGTACTAATTTTTTAAACTGATTTATTTTCTCTACACAAGCCCCTGTGCTTCATCATGTTCATTGTCCATCACGTTTCCATGCTTACACGTTGCACACACTAGCCTAAGGGCTATTCCACCTACTGAAATCGCATCACAAAAAGGATAAATCATCGCATTTTAGCTGCAATCAATATCAAATAACTATGTTACGATAACTTCGCAAGATGAAGATTTACTTCCAACTTCCACTATGTCGCCATTTTGTTTCTTTACGATTGCAATACGACAAAACGAAATTCGTTAAAAATCGCAAAATTTTTCGGTAATAAAGGAAAGTCATTTAATACAAATTACAAGTAAAAATTACCCCAAAAATTATTTTTAATGGCTTAAATTGGCGATGCTGTTTTTGAATTATCCACTTCCGGCAGGATAATCCTACTTCCGGTAGCATTACTAGCATTGACCTAGTTTCAAACCAGCATCAGGATAAGGATCAAACCAGGATCAGGATAAGGATAACTAGCATCAAAATCAGCAAGCAAAGGAAGCATCAAAATCAGCAAGCATAGGAAGCACCAAAATCAGCATTGATGCTGTAACAAAATTATTTCCCTGCACTGTATATGAAAATTTAAAAAAAGTTTTTCGAAAGATATATAATTATCACAAATTGATTCTCTCTATTAATAAAATATAAGTCTAGATATTTTTGTTTCATACATATTTTATTCAAAGTGCGTTAAATGCCTCCATAGTAAAAAATGTTAAGGTTTCGTCAAAGGTCAACATGTCTAAAAAATTATTTTTACAATAACTCCAAAACTATATGTGGTATAAAGTCAAAATGTTTACAGTTTATAAATATGTCATTGATTAATAGATAGAAAGTATCACTTGATAAAAAATATTTTAAAAAATATTCTTTTTCGAGAAAATTGTATCAGAAAATGTGCATGTTTAAAGAGAAATGCACCTGCTTAATTCTGTCCTTTTTGTGAAAACCATCATTGCAGAAACAATATATGTTTATCATTGAAGAGCAAGTTGGACATGGATGGTCTCTGAAAGGCTGTTATTGAAAGCGTGACAGTATAAAGACAAGACCCCTGTGGAACCCGCCATTTGCAATGTACTTTCGCTTTCAAGTCTTAAGGGGAGACAGGGCACATGTCACATGACTAAAAAGACATATTACGTCATAATCGGTGATGATATACATGTTAAACGTTGTTAAAATCAACAGTTCTTGTGGAATTTTATTCTAAATTCTAAAATTGTTGTTTAAACATTTAACATGTTTAATTTTAGAAATTATTATTCATAAAATTTTTAAAGGTCTTGCCATCATTTAGATATTGTGAAGTTGCCCAATCCACACATTTATTTCTCTTTACCCTGCAGTTTGACGTCAGTGACGTCATAGACGTAGTGTTTGAATTTTCAGATTAATCAAGTACACACACCCGTCATGATCAGTTTAATTTCATAATAAACAGGTCACAGTCAATGTATCGTGATAAATTTCTGAAGCAGATTTTTTAAAATTAATATTTTTTCGTGTTTAGTAGCAGAGATTCTCTCTATTTAGATAATTTTGAATGTTTATGTTTTCGTGTGACGTAACAATTGATTTCCCGCACTCGGAAAATACAAACGTGTTCAGCGTTTTTATCATGCTTACGTCTAATTCAACGATGTCCTGTGCGAAATTGAGGTAAGGTTCACCCTGTGATATTTATGCAATAAATAATTACGATAAAGGACTGACATTCAATCGTAAATTTAGAAATATTTATTGACAGAATTTTTTCCCAATGAGGTTTTTGTCGTTGAAGCTGCCTTGAAAAATGCAGAAATTATCCCACCCAAATTCTATATAAAATTAAA